AGTTAGGGCTGGGGCCAGCCATTGGGGGGGGGGAGCATCGGAGGGGCTAATGACAGGGTGGGACCGAGAGCTTGACCTGCCCGCTGGGATTCCCCTAACCTTCAGGTCTGCCCCTTGGTACCCAACACCCTCATGGAAAAAGAAGACAGCATGTCTGTGTGGACTCCAAGATCTGCTTTCATTATGCAGCTCTGAATTCTCTGCTGAGGACAGTTCCACCCCAAACCACCTACCTAACAACCACACCTACCCTTGCTGCATCCATAATTCCCAGATCTTCCCCACTCACCATTATCTGCCTCCCCCCTGATTAAACATGCACGTTAAGGTTCTCTAATGCCCTGTCATTTATATCTCTAAAGACCTGTCATCATCCCCAAACTGGCTTCATCTGACCATCCCAGCCCTCCTCAGTCTACCCCTAAAGTTCCTTCAACTCCATGATTAATTTCCTCAAGCCCAAGATCCAACTCCAACCTCCACATCTCAAAATCTTTCCCCTTAACCTCCAGACCTGATCTCAACTTCCAGATCTGAGCCTCAAACCTCCATATCTGTCCCTCCAATCCCCCAGATCTGACTCTTACATTCCTCTAACCTTAAGATCTTCATCTAGCACTACAAAACCCCAAGACCTGCCCTTGCAGAGTTCCCCACCTTCAAGATCTGACACTCCACACACCCAGATCTGCCCTCTCGGGATCTCTCCCTCCACATACCAGCCAGCTGAGCACCGCGGCGGTGCCGGTCCTGCAGTGCAGCACTGACACGGGCACTGGAGGCACTGATGGCTGCCATGTTGGAGGCCAAATCATCCATCTCTGCCTCCATGCGCCGGAAGTCAACCTTCATCTTTCGGATAGTGTCTGGAGAGAAGAAACAAGACACATAGGTACCTTGTACTCCTGGGAGCCATCTGTTCCTCTCAAGATGCCTGGGTCCCTACCAGGTACCCACCTGTGGCAGAAATGAACTTGTTGTAGTTCTCATAGAGCAGTGTTTGCATGTCACTGTCGAGAGCACGGATCTCCCGCCCCAGTGTAGCTTCACGGGACAACAACTCCCCCAGGCGACACTCACTGCGCACCTGGAGGAACAACAATAGTAGTACAATTTTGCCCTGGTCTTGCTGCACCCTGTTGGCCCGCCCACAACCTCCAACAGCCTTCCTGGAATACTCAATCCCTTCAGCCAAGCCCCTGCATGTGCTTCTGGGATCCTCTAGTGCTCCTTTCCACTTCTACTTGGCTCCTAGGGCCCTCCAGCTGTTGTTCTATAGCCCTGAGTACCACCTGGGGAACTCCTGACTGCCATTCAAGCCCCTAAATGTGCCTTTGACTCCACCTCTCCCAATGGAATTTGCAAACAAGCTTCCAATCGAAGCTCAGGGTCCTGCTGGAAATCCAGAAGTCCCCATTAACCACAATACCACCCTTATAAAGGGATCTATAAGATCCCAAGCAATTTCTTTGGAGGAAGGAGGTCTACAGGATGCCCAAATAACCCCCAACAGGGTCCTCTGAGCGGTCTGAGGGTCTCTCAGGGACCCAGTGGTGACCTACTAGAGGAGTTTCCATAAGAATCTGTATCAGTGAGCAACAGGATCTTCTCCAAAGGTTTCCACAGGCGATATCACAGAGCCCTTCTGAGACTCCAATGGGGCCCTGAACACAGACGTGACATCCCTGGAACTGTATGCAAGGAGTTCCCTCCAGGAACGCCTATGGGTGTCTGTAAGGAGGCCTACACGAACACCTCGGAGGGGGTGAAGGGGTCCTCCAAGGGAAGCGAGGGTCGCGGTGGGGTCAAAGGTCACCTTGGTGAGAAAAACTTCCGGGTCGAAGTGGGGCCCGTTGATATCAGCAGGGTCCAGGTCTGTCTCTGCCGCTTCGGCCGCAGACGGTCCATAATACCGCTGGAGCGGACCGTGGGGCCGCCGCCACCCGCTCCCGCTCCCCGTTGCGTTCCCAGAGTCGGAGCTGCCTCCAGTCTCGGTCCCGGCCCCCGCCGCTTCCACCTCCGCCATCGCGCCGACACTTCCGGTCCAGCTGACAGCTTATCCCACCCCCGACGTCACTTCCGGCGGAAGGCGCTCGTCACCACGGCAACCAGCTGCGTTCACTTGAAAGTAACGAAATATTTCCTTTTTTCTCCGACAGCTTCAGTAAGAAAGAGAAATGCCGGACCGGTTACACAGCTAACGCTAGACACACAACAGCCGCATAAGATGAGAGCAGAGTAAATTACCATTACAAAATGAGAAGTTTATTGCCAAGGAAAATGGTTTTCCCCTCCATCAACAGCACGTGCCAGACCTGTTTTCAGTTTTATTCTTTCAGTTGCATATTACTCAAAAATAACTTCCAAACAACCAGAACCAATCAGTATTCATACACACATACACTTTCACGAGACTCCCCTGCTTTTATGTTCGATGAGCTTATCCAAATATTTTCAATTAAAGGCAATTAATTGAAGTAGCTGATGAAAATCCTTAATGAATGATTCTTTAGCTAGACTAGGGCTGAAGTGTATTGGGAACAAACCAGAGACAAATCAAAAAGGTGTAAAAAAGAGCTTGACTGTAAATATCACTCACAGTGATCATTCCAACAATTGTTTGGGTTGTCTCTCATCATCACAGCACACTCCAGATTTGAATGCTGTTTGACAAATTACCAGTATTAAACAAGACAGCAAATCAGTCCGTATCTTCAGCTACAGATATTCCTTCCTTTTTTTCTAGATGGGACACCTGCAAGATAAAAAGAAAGATTCAGTAGTAAAATTAAGGCGCATTTAACATCTCTGGTACTTTCTGATTTTCACCTCCAATCAGCACAGAGCCCAGATTTATCAGAAACCGACAGTGAGATGCGCTCTGGGGACAACAGATGTGAGTAGGCTCTGTTAGCTGCAGTAAAAAGAGAAATTCAAACTTTCTTCCTGCCCATCTTCTCAGCTGCCCCCAGCTGCATGCTCCCATCCATTCCTATTTTTGTGGCAGCTTGGTGACTTAATTTGGCTGACAAGGAGTAAGCACCAAAGCCATCTCAGGAGAAACAGAAAGGAAGGTAAGACCACCCTTTTCAATGACAAACATCAGATGAAATTAGGCCAGTAGCCAGAACCCTGCCCATAACAAGAACTAGGAAAAGAGAAAATAAACACAGGGAAATGCTTCTCACACCTTAATAAGACCGACCTTCGCTCTTCTTAACACTTAAGAAATTGAGTTACTTTACATTTAGTTCATTTACTGTTATGATTAATAACATAAATGCACAAACTCAGGGAAGGTAGCCCAACAGCAACAACATGATGGCTCAGGATGGTATCTTTGTCTCTGGAAAGTCCAATTTTATGTTCCCACAATATAAAGGTAGGAAAATCATACTGTAAATAGATGATTCGTATCTTCTGCCCTCAACATCTGTTATTGGTCATGACATGTTGTATGGGGACTGCTGAATCACGGCCTGAACCTCTGATTGATCACCTGATGCGAGCACTGAGTCAGCCCTGGGAGCACAGGTGAAGGCAATTCATCTGTGCTGCAGGGAGGGGTGCAGCCTGGCTCCATCTCTCCTAGATCCATTTCAGAGCTGACCACCAGTAGGGAAGGATCTCTTCTGGAGATCTGTTCCACCAGAGTTTCCCACGCAAGCCCAGGATAGGGTGAGTGTACCTATCATTGCTGTTTTCTGCTTTGGTGTCATAACATCATAGGCAAGCTTTCTGTTGTACCATAACACCTGCATATTCATTAACAGTACACTGCTATACCATAACATTGGTATATTCATTAATTGTACACATGGTCACACAGACACTCAGCTTGGCAGACATTTTTGTTTCACCAAATGTGCCTATTATTGTGATATGACCAGTGAGCACTGGAAAAAAAACAGGAAACGGATTGCAGGTAACTCATCCTTGGAGATGGTCACGCCAAACTTCTTCTGAGTTAAGTTGCTGTTCAGTCAAATGATACCAGCTATTAAAACAGCATGTTTTAATGTTCTGGCTACTAGAACCTGTTAAATTACTTGCTCTGGCCATACATCCTTATGCCAGCCACAATTCAAAACCAGAAGCTGCAGATAGTGACACTGCAGCTCCAAGGGTTATTATTCCAAACTGTGCTCAAGTTTCCCTCACGCAGGTGGAATGCTCAGCTATGTAGAGATTAATGGCATTAGGACTCCAAGGGCAAGTCTGATTATTCCCTGCAAGCACTTCACATCCTCCTTGTCTTACCACTGTTCTTCTACAACATATATAGAAAGAATTCTGCACTTTAAAAGGGTGGATGACTGAATCAACTTGATATACGTATGTATAAAACATTATAAATGGAAAACTGTTTTCCACAAATCCAACAGATTTCCCTTCTGTTAACAATCAAACCAATTTTCTTTCACAAATGGGCATGAGGTAGCATCATTCGCATACAAGAAAACCCAGCACTGATTACCAAAGTAAAGGTGCTTTTTGGCAGCACAATATCATTTAGAGTTTATGCTGTATTTTCACAGTCCTGTTACTATACAAAAAAAAAAAAAAAAAACACAAAAACACCCTTAAGTGCAGGACTTCAATTACCAGTAATCCTAGAGTGATTAACTGAATATGTACAATAAATACAAACTGACAACATTCCCTTTCTTCATTAGGGCAAACTTGACTCATTACTGTGAATCATTATTTTCGAGCCTTGCAGAAGGCTATCCATCATAAACAATTATCACTTCAAGTTACTGCTGCCCAAATAACAGATTATTTCCCAAGCTTGACTTGTAATTTGCAGCAGCTAATTGCAATGGCTAATACTCTTGCCTGCAAAAATGTTACTACATACAAAATTGAGTTAAAGTTTAACAATATCCTAGATCATTACAAGATCTTAATCACATTTCTTGTAAGCATTAAATTGCATTTTGTTTCAGATCTTATAAAAATATTTTACACAACTCCCTCTTGATCTTCAGTGAGAAAGAGTTTAAAACTGTTAAAAAAAAAATGCAGACCTACAAAACAAAAATGCTGCACACGGTAGCTTTTACTCTGGGTTTCAGGGTGAGGAAGCACTAGTACTTAATTGTAATATAATCAGGGTGAGGAAACACTAATGCCTTGCATTTCACAGACAAGGCAATTAGCATTTTATTATATGTATAGATATGTTCTCAAAAGCAGCTGAAGTGCAAAAAACACTGTAAGGAGAGATTCACAGGAATTGAGCTTACCCCATTGAGACAGCTTTAAATAAAAACTGAGAAGCAGAGAATGTTTACCTGGTTATCTATACACCTAAATTGCCAGGACCAGGTGGTGTTATAAAGGAAAGGCCTCAGGTCAAATCGGTTGTCATCTGGGCTGTAGTTTTCGGCATGGTAGGAAGGAGTGAGGGTGGTCATTTTATGCCTATTCAAGGAATACATCCTGAAGAAGTGCTTAACCTTTGATGCCACCTGGTGTATGAAGAATATAACTTTCAGTCAGCCAAACTTCCTTAAAATTTACAATTGTCAGTGAGAACAGCATCTTAAAGACTGTATTCCAGCTTTTACACACCCACTTTCCACCACTAACACGTACGTAAGTTACCTACCACTACAAATCACTGTGGATGATTCCTTCAGGTAGAGGCATTTCAGACTATTTTCATACCACCCTGTCTCTGTGCCTAACATTGACCAACAGAGAAGTGCCCTGCAGGAAATCTAACAGTAAGCACTGGCCTCTGAGATTCAGGTGACCAACTGAACGTTTTCCTTTATGCCAAAAAAGGAAAGATTTCCAGAGTACATAATCCAAAAACTTCAGGGGCAGTTGGCCATACACATTTCAGGAATAATTTTCTCCTGAAGTTACAGTTCTGTAGCAACTGTTTTCAGTTCCCCAATTACTGTTCTAACCATTTCTAACATATATAACAAACCATATTAATTTAAGAGAGCAATACAAGCTTTACCAGCGTATTCAGTTACAACTGTACAATATCCCTAACTATGGGAGAATAATTAAACCATCTCTTTCAAATGAAAGGAACTTCATTTGACCATCCTTTAAAGAGTTTATTTTGGGAAAGACATCACATGATTTAATTTTGTGCATTACCTCCCTAGGTGTGCAAATTTCCTTCCACAAATTAATCAGTTTACAGAACATACTGTATGGTCCAGCCTTTGCAATCTTCCTTAATTTACCATAGATTGAGAGCTCTGCATACGTCATCCCCATATCTGCCTGAAATCACACAAAGTCACAGAAAAAAAAACCTGACTATTTAAATTACAATTAGTGGTTTTATGCGCAATTACAATAACCCAGTTTAATCAAAGATACACCAAAATGAAATTCTCAGTGCTCAAAGAGAAACAGACAATTAGTATTACAAGTGGAAGAAAAGAATTGGGATCTCTGAAATATGAGATTTCAGAACCTTAAAGGAATATGTTTTATTTGGCTAGTGAAAGTATGCATGTCTTTCCAGAGAAAAATCTGTTTATTTTCCCTTCTGGGAGTTTAGATATAGTATATGGCAGTACAATAATTCCTAATGGAGAAAACTGAAATTTTAATTAAGCAATCCTTTATTAAAAAAAAAAAAAAAAAAAGTTTTAGAGTATCCTGCAGGTGAATAACCTACAGCCTTGGTAAGTAGCTGTCAGGCTTACCAGTCCTCTCTTATGTAAGTAGATAGCAAAAAAGAGGGGATGGGGAGAAGAGGCCAGGGGTTAAACACCAACCAACTTCAAGAACAGCAAGACACCAACAGGCACTTTTGGAGTTAAGTAACTCTGAAACTGCATGTTGGAAACATTTCAGAATGGCCATCTTTTTAAGTGCCCAAAATAAAAAATCATTCAAAACAAACAGAACAATCAAACAACAAACATTTGATTTGCTGTTTTAGAAACTGTTGGCAATTTATGTAATGCTGGTGCAAGACACCAAGCCTTGTCAGTGGCTTCAAGACAGTTATTACACACTTAGTGATAAGCACAGATACATACAAAAGCAAACAGCAATTGGACAAAAAGCAAGTGTGGGGATAAAGATTACCAGAGCATTTTTAAGTCTCTGCCTATTACCTCATCAGTTTGAGACACTTGTCCATCCACTAGGGGCTCTAGCTCTGCAGTAGGTGGAGCTGCCATGATACTGTAAGAGGAAGAAATAACAATCTGTCCAGTCTTATTAGTACAAACAGTCTGGTTTATTAAAAAGCAAATGCTTTACTCAAAAATTTCAGAGGGCATAATCTGCAAAAAAAAAAAAAGTTACCTGCGAGCTGTCCCAGGTTTAAAAAAAAGCTATGTTTGTATCAAAAACATGAAACGTTTCCTTAATTCAATCTGTTCAAAATGTTTCCTCAATGGAATTAACACAAGTTTTTGCACACAGTCACTCCTAAGGCTGCTGGCATTTGCAACCTTCAGCCATTTAGATTGGTCTTGTGTAATTGCACACAATCATTTGGAAACAAAAGGATTACCAGAAGACTTCTTTAACATTTGCAATTAAAAAAAACTGCATGAGTTTCAATAGGGCCAAGTGTCAGGTCCTGCATTTTGGTCACAGCAACCTCAGGCAACCCTACAGCCTTGGAGAGAAGCAGCTGGAAAGCTGCCTGGTGGAAAGGGACCTTGGTGTACTGATGGACAGTTGGCT